GCAAAATCAAGGTTTGCTTTTGGGAACTTTGGAAAATATTTTCAAGCCCTGGACGGTGGAATCCCTTGCCGCAGAACTCATGGAGATGGAGGGCTGACTGTCCATAGCACTTTAGGCATATCAAAAATCAATGCACTTTAGCTGGGTAATTTCTCCCTCTTGCGCTTGCCATTTGTATGTAAAGCCATGTTGTCTCCTCTCCTCTTTTCCAGAAGCATATAAATGGCTTCCTTTGCTTTCTGTTGTGTCCAAAAGTTACCGTGTGTACTACCACGCTCAAAATACCAGGTCCTTAACTCGAGACTCTGGGAACTGTTGCCTCAAATTAATACTCCTCCCAAATTTGTCCAGTCCCTATTTCCTGTCTGCTGCCTTTTGTTAAAATCCATGTACGTGGCTTGCGGTTGTTTTTGGTGCCGATGTGTGCACACACGCCTCATTGAGCATTTTGTGGTGTGTGTATTTAGATTTGTCATTCTTCTGGGCTCAGACTCACATCCTGGTCTCAAGCTGATGCATCTCTGAGTAAGGAAAGGAGGAAGGAGAAATTAATTAGATCTGGATTTCTGTGTGGCTTTAACCCAATTCGGACCAGATGACTTGGACTACAATTGTACGCACAAACTCTCACTTTTGAGAATTTTGTAATCTAGTTTGCAATTGAAAGTATTTTTAATTTCACAAAAAGAGGTATTTAATTAGTGGGAAAAGGTGCACAGAGCTTTACGATATTACAGCAATGATAGCTAAAAGTGAAATATTGCATACAGAAAACAGATTTATTAGGAAATGTTCATAAAATGCACACAAATGTTCTCAAGGAAGTCTCTTGTGTTGACAAATTTTGTTAAGGCATGTGAATCAAGGTTCAAACATATACGAAGTCTTGACAATTAGACATTCAGAAAAGCCAGGACCAGAATTCTATTACTTAGTCCCAACCAAACTAAAAGCATTGAATCAATTGATGAATAATAATAGGTCAACACTTAAGTAAAATCCTTTGAATTGGTGGGCCTACTCTACTGTGAACTAACAATAGGATTCAGGCTCAAATATTATAGAATCGCCTGTCGTACATGGTAATTCCCATTGCCTTTTTAATACAGACATATCTTAATTCTTGTGGATGAACATAATAGCATCATACAAATCCTGTTTAAGGAGCTCCACTGGCTGCCGTTCATTTTCTGGTCCCAGTTCAAGGTGCAGGTTCTTACCTACAAAGCCCAGAATGGTTTGGGACCCGACTACCTACGTGACCGCATTTCTGTGTACGAACCCACATGATCTCTTCGATCATGTGGAGAGGTCCTGCTCGCGCTCCCACCTCCTTCACAGGCACGATTGGCGGGGACGAGGGAGAGGGCCTTCTCGGTGGTGGCCCCCTAACTCTGGAACTCACTTCCTAAGGACATCAGACATGCCCCAACTCTGTTGAAATAATTGGAAAAGGAACGGATTGATATTGATACAAAAAGCACCAGCAATCTATCGTGGAGGGATTAATAATTAGCCCCATACCTCTTAATTTTTCAAATTATTTATTTATTTTATTTATTTACCATATTTATATACCGCCATTCTCAGCCCGAGGGTGACTCAGGGCGGTTTACAAATGGCATGATTCGATGCCCGCAATAACATAAAAACAATCAAAAATTTAGCATAAATAACATTCAATAAAATAATAAAACCGATAAAAGTATAGATCCTCAGCATCTCATCACTAAAATCATTATCCAATCACATTGTCCAGTCGTTCCAAAGATCAGAGTTTGTCTGCTACACTGCATTTGGGAAAGCTTGCTCAAAAAGCCAGGTTTTAACTTTTTTATGAAATGTTAAGAGAGTGGGGGCCGATCTGATGTCCCTAGGGAGGGCGTTCCACAGCCGAGGGGGCCACCACTGAGAAGGACCTGTCCCTCGTTCCCACCAAATCTGTGAGACCAAGAGCAGGGCCTCCCCAGAAGATCTTATGGTCCTAGATGGATCATAAGGAGAGATGCGTTTGGACAGGTAAACTGGGCCAGGACCGTTTAGTTAGTGAACAAAACTGTATGTATTATTATTTTCGTTGTATTTACTTCATAGAAACTCAGTGAAATGGGACTCTAAGGCAAACCTATCACAGGTTTCTCTGGGGCTCAGAGTATGTGACTTGCCCAAGTTCCAAGGAAACAATTTATTTATTTTATATCCTGCTTTTTATATCTGAAGGAACGCCCATTATACCTTAAAACAAGTATAGTCAGCCCTCTTTATTCACAGATACTGCCTTGATGGAGCCAACCATCTATGGCTAAGAGGAATGTTTCTCAATAAATTCAGAGTCTCGTTGGTCTCCAGAGTCATAAAACAACACTAAAACCCCTACACCATCGTGTTGATTTCCAACAAATATGCTATCCCTGAACTTCTGTACATTACCAACCATATCAACCTCTTAGTATTATTATCTTGTGTGTATGTGTTTTATATATCACATTTATATATCTAATCCTTGAATGATAACGAAGATTAGGAAGGGAAATGGATATGAATAAATTCAATGTGAATTTTACGATCAACCAAAAACTCTCTTTTGTTGAACCTGGTAGTATTTTACAGGCCTGAGATATTTAAGTGATCAGTTGGTTATATATTATTAATAGATTACATCTTCTGATTGATTAAAATGCTGCCCACAATTGCTTGGGAACTTTAGATACTGTATTTATTTATTTATCGTATCAGGAGCGAACCAATGTATTGGAGAAAACACAAAGTTTAAAAACTTGGCATTCTGTATTGTATTGTTTACTAGTTTAAAGATCTTTTCAATCATGTACGTTTTTATTATGAACTGTGGTTTAATTCAGTTTTAATGTTGCTTTTGGTATGATTTTAAATGTGTAAACCGCCTGAATCCCAACAACAACAATTCATGGTCTTTTCCACATGACATCTATATTTATTAACTCTGAAATATTACTTTTTGGGAGAATAGCATCCAGGCAATATGAGAGTTAGTCCAAATAGTCAATTTTCCATGTTAATAAAGGTAGATCAAATACAGGAAAATGGGCAACCTTTTGCAAGAGGCGTTCCTGATTTCACCCTCAGGCAGGAGCATTGATCTTTTCCAAGAAACTGACCAGGGTGAGATGTATATTTGTCTCTAAAAATGTCCCCAGTCAGAGAAATCATTATATTCCCCCTTATTGGGTTGGATCCAGACTTAGCCATGTTTTGAGCAGATCCATAGAAATCAGTGTGACTTATCCCATACAGTCCCCATTCATTCCAAAGGCATTATGCAAAGTATGACTAAATGTGGATGCAATCCATAGTTCCATCAACCTACAAATGAATGCATGGCTAAATCCACAAAAGGTAAAGCAGGCTTAGCTCTGGTCCTCACTTACATGGGGGTGAGTCCCATTCAACTCAATGGTCATCTCAGCCAACTGGCAGAAGGCTCTGCTGAAAATAAACCAAAGATTTCTCTTTAGAGGCAACTCTGAACTTGGAAAAGGCTTAGTTCAAGGTTTTCCCTAGACAGATTGGGTTTATTTGGCCCTATTTACCCTCTGGTGGCATATATTTATTTATTAAAATTATATCCTGCCTTTCTGTCAACGTGAGACTTTTGGTCTCAGAAACTTTTCATTTATATCCCATTTTCTTTCCATATGGGATCCAAGGGATCCCACCATATGTTAAAACAAGAAAAGCCAGTCATGCGTATCCATGGATTCTGTATCTACGGATCCAACTATTCATAGTTTGAAAATGTATTTTAAATGCCTTTCAAAAAACCCTTAGACAACACCTCTCTGAGAATATCTAGATTCTCTGGTGTGATTCTATGGACAACTTTTGGTGGAAATTTTAATGAAATCGACAAATAATCAAATCTGCAAGTTGGAAGTCCTCTATATCCCCATGTTTGTTTACTAATTCCAGTGTTGGTTAATTTGTTTATGTAGATATGGTTTAATTGTAATGTGGTTGTTTGTTTATGTAGATCCTAGATAATTTGTTTATGTAGATGTATGTAGTAAAGAATTATTTACGTATATATGCTCTAGGTAGTATTACTGTAGTAGTAAATGTGTATGTTCTCTGTTTTATTATTCCTTTTTTCTTTTTATAAGTAGTTGATCTTATATGTAGTTTGATATTATATCAATTATATAGTAATAAGAAATTGAATTCAGCAAAACTCAAATAGACTTGTCTAGGGAGATATGGTACAAGTGGTGAGGTAGACGGGAAGATATGGTTATAACCAGAGAGCTAGATGGGAGATACATTATAAACAGTGAACTAGATGGGAGATAGGGTGTTACAAATGGTGCGCTAAATGGAAAATATGGTACAAAAGGTGAGCTGGAGTGGAGATAGGGTGCAAATGGTGAGCTAGATCGAAGATACCATACAAATGGTGATGTAGAGGGGACATGGTACAAATGGCAACCTAGATGGGAGATATGGTACAAATGGTGAGCTGGATGGACAATATGGTACACAAGGTGAACTAGATGAAAGATGTGGTACAAATGGTGAGATATGATACACATTGGGGGATATGATACAATGGGAGATACAGTACAAATGGTGATGTAGAGGGGACATAGTATAAATGGTAACCTAGATGGGAGATATGGTACAAATGGTAAGCTGGATGGACGATATGTCACACAAGGTGAACTAGATGAAAGATGTGGTACAAATGGTGAGATATGATACAAATGGTGAACTAGATGGGAGATATGGTACAAATGGTGAGATAGATGGATAATGTGGTACAAATGGTGAGCTAGATAGGCAATATGGTTCACAAGGTGAACTAGATGAAAGATGTGGTACAAATAGTGAGAAATGATGAACTAGATGGGAGATATGTTACAAATGGTGAGCTAGATGGGGGAAACCATTGGTTCCTCTTCCAATGTCCTTCTCCCCATTCCTTCCCTTGCTATCCATCAATCAACTCTGTCCCCTCTTGTTTCCAGAAGGCAGGGAGTGTGTAAACTGTGGCGCTACCTCGACCCCGCTATGGCGGAGAGATGGCACTGGGCATTATCTCTGTAACGCCTGTGGACTGTATCATAAAATGAACGGGCAGAACCGCCCCCTGATAAAACCCAAGAGAAGGCTGGTAAGTGACTCCGAATCTCACGACTGTACTAACTTCTTATTTTTTTTCCCTTTTCTTTTCTCCCTCCCTGTCATGTTGTGTTTTTTGAATTTCCTCAGCCCAAGATGGAGAACTTTCTGGAGGGAGTAGAACTGGGCCCACCCGCCCAAAGTCTTATCTGTCTGTACAGAAGAGGGTTTTTGAGAGAGGTCACCCCCCCTTTTTCACTATGCCTGCCAAGTTATGTACCATTTCTATGTCTCTCTATATATCTTTTGAAAGTATTTTTTAAGTTAAAAAAGTAAGGGATAATTTTCTTGAATGGATTTTTGGGGTTGGTGGTGGTTGAAGAATGTGGGAGCGGGGAGGGAAAAGCATGCAGCAGGCATGGAAACAAAATAATAATGGGATTCCTTGCAAAACGGTGGCATGTCTGGGCATTGTTTTTTCCCCCTCCAAAAGATGGAAGTGTAAACACATTTTTAAAATGCTGCATTGTTTTCCAATGGAGTTGTCTTCCATTTGCTCCCAAATATCCAGATTTGAGAGGGATAGTTCTGATGAGATCACCTGTCATCTCACTTTTTCGTTGCTTTTAAAATGTCCCAGTTTCTGTCTCCTTCTCCAAACAAAGGGGCAAACGTTTTCCCTTTGTCTTCAGCTTACATAAATTTCAAAATAAATACATAGAGCAAAAGTAGTTTATACTAAACTCCAAGTGGAAAGAGTGTGCATGTATGTGGGGAAATTGTACCCTTCCCAGTAGGCAAAAGCAAACTGCTGCAGCTTCTCTTAGCTTGTGTGTTCCTCCTCATTAATAACTTTAGCCATTCTGACCTCGTGATGATGTTATTTTGCTGCAAATGTCCTAGCTTCTATCTGTGAAATGTTGTATGGTATGGATTTCTCAAAGGCTTCCCAAAGATGCAGGTCTTTGGAATTATCCCAAGTCTAGAATTTTTTACTTTAAATACCAACCCAAGAAACCCGAGTCAACTTATTCATGTGTTAATGTGGGTACTGGACCTGAACTCTTACTTTAAGAGGAATAATCCCTTTCTCTGAGTAAAGTGACAATAGGCAAGAGCTCAGTCCATCCTGGGAGAACCTAAAGGAAGTGCTGACCTCTCTACTCATCCGCTGTAATGCTGCTTCTGGCCTTTTTGAATGCTTGGATAGAGAAATGCCTCTGGCAACCAGGAATGGTTGGTTCCCCAAGGCAGCACTGGTGCTTACCGCTCTCTGTGGAATGACTCTTGACTTATCAAAACCCATCACTTTGGCTCCCAAACTTGTCCTCAAGTTATACATGAAGTCAATCTATACATTAGCATATACCAGGCATGGGCAAACTTCAGCCCTCCAAGTGCTTTGGACTTCAACTCCCACAATTCCTATTGGCTGTTAGGAATTGTGGGAGTTGAAATCCAAAACATCTGGAGGGCTGAAGTTTGCCCATGCCTAGTATATAGGGTATGTTTGGTGTCTAATAATGTTACAGTGAGTTTTATTCCTTGATTCGTGTTTCTTTCAGTTCTGCAGAAATTTGGAGGACATTCTTTTAAAAAAGCGTGTCATGCCTGATGACCAGGTTTCTAGAGCTGAGACTCACTGGAGGGTACACAGGCTGCCCAGAATATCCCCTTTCCCTAAAACAAAACAAAACAAAAACAAAACAAAAATCAAGTAGTTTTGAAAAAACAGGTGGTAGGACAAAAAGTGAATTATTGGTCCTGGAGGGTTCTAGGTCATCCCAGTTTTGGTGGTCTAGATAGGTCAATGATGTAAAAATCATACAATCATAGAATCATAGAATCAAAGAGTTGGAAGAGACCTCATGGGCCATCCAGTCCAACCCCTGCCAAGAAGCAGGAATATTGCATTCAAAGCACCGCTGACAGATGGCCATCCAGCCTCTGTTTAAAAGCTTCCAAAGAAGGAGCCTCCACCACACTCCGGGGCAGAGAGTTCCACTGCTGAACGGCTCTCACAGTCAGGAAGTTCTTCCTCGTGTTCAGATGGAATCTCCTTTCTTGTAGTTTGAAGCCATTGTTTGCGTCCTAGTCTCCAGGGAAGCAGAAAACAAGCTTGCTCCCTCCTCCCTTTGGCTTCCTCTCACATATTTATACATGGCTATCATATCTCCTCTCAGCCTTCTCTTCTTCAGGCTAAACATGCCCAGCTCCTTAAGCCGCTCCTCATAGGGCTTGTTCTCCAGACCCTTGATCATTTTAGTCGCCCTCCTCTGGAGACATTCCAGCTTGTCAATATCTCTCTTGAATTGTGGTGCCCAGAATTGGACACAATATTCCAGGTGTGGTCTAACCAAAGCAGAATAGAGGGGTAGCATTACTTCCCTGGATCTAGGGAAGTAAATAGAGCAAAAGTAGAGCAAATAGATGTTCTTTAGGAATCTCTAGTTTCCAACCAAGAGATTCCAAGATAGATCATATTAATCATATCTGCAAATAACCAAATCAACAAAAGATAAACTTGTAAATGTGGAGAGTGAAATGTACATCCTGTTTTTCCCCAACATGTCAGCTCAGTTGGATCTGACGTACTAGACTGAATCCGCCAACACTTCTGCTACAGGTGTCTTTCTCTCAGTTTCAACATGTTACAAGATTCCTGTGTAAGGTACACTCAGGTAGCCCACACTATAATAAAATAAATAAGAGCAAGCCATTTATGACCCAATTCAAAAACACACAGATAATATAATAATAAAAAACTTTATTTATACTCCACCACCATCTCCCAAAAGGGACTCAAGGTGGATTACAAAGCACGCAGAAGTGCAAATAAAGGTAAAAGGAAGAGGGGCCAACCAAGGGCAAGATGGATAGATGGCATCCTTGAAGTGACTGGACTGACCCTGAAGGAGCTGGGGGTGGTGACGGCTGACAGGGAGCTCTGGCGTGGGCTGGTCCATGAGGTCACGAAGAGTCGGAGACGACTGAATGAATGAACAACAAAGTTTAAATAGAAATACTCAATAAAACAACACCAATAGCTGCGGATTAAAATGATGCCATATCGGAACATTGCAGTATCTGTCCGATTACAGATTTATAATATTCACAACTTATTTAGAATAGTAATGAAGTTTTTTTTATGTAGAGAAAATCTGTGCCTCTCTCCTTCACCTGTACATCAGAGGCAGGGATCATGTTTTTAGAACAAGAGAAGAACCAGTTTTTTCCTATGTTCACTGCTGACCCTTTCCATTTTTCTCAGTTTCTTTAAGTACAAGGGAAAACAATACAGGGACCTCACGATCTTTCTCCATCAGTGGGAAAAATAGCTTGCTTTGGGAGACAAAGATGAGAAGAACAACAGCCTGAGGGGGAAAGGGTTAAGAACCCCTTCCCTTTACTACTGCTCTCCTTAAAAACACCAATTTTTCCCCTCCACAGATGTTTTGTATTACTTAAAAAGTTGGAGGAGATTTACACATGACTGCGTGTACCATGTTGTTTGGCCCTAAGGGAATGGGACATTTGTTTGTTTCTACATCTGTTTCTCTAAATGTTTTTGGATGGCTTACAAGGCTGTTCAGGGAAAGAACTTTAAATGAAGTTGAGGGTAGGAGGGGGCATTGAGGACTCTGGAGGGAAGTTGGGATGGAATACAATTCAGCGTGGTCCAGCTATAGTCCTGTCGCCCTTCAGCCTTCTGTAGTACTCTTGGTCCTTTGTCCCCATGAATTTCGTATTTATGGATTCAACTATCCAGGGTTTGAAAATATGCTCCAAAAGGCAAAATTTGATTTTGCAATTGTATATGGAACATAGACCATGAGAAGATCAAATCAGGAAATAATGCCCAACTGCTCACTGGAGGGAAGGATATTAGAGGCAAAGATGAAGTACATTGGCCACATAATGAGAAGACAGGAAAGCTTGGAGAAGATAATGATGCTGCGGAAAAAGGAAAACAAGGGAAAGATGGATGGATGATATCCTTGAAGGGACACACGTGACTCTGAAGGAGCTGGGGGTGGTGAAGGCAGACAGGGAGCTTTGGCATGGACTGGTCCATGAGGTCACAAAGAGGCGGAAGCAACTGAACGAATAACCAACAACAACAATATGGAACATTATTTTACTAAGGCCATATTACAGTGTAGATGCATGTTCAGCTTGTGATTCACTAAGACTCATAAATCCCTTTCACATGTTCATTTAGAGAAGCCAGATATTCCTGTACTGCCTCTCATAGAATCATAGAATCAAAGAGTTGGAAGAGACCTCATGGGCCATCCAGTCCAACCCCCTGCCAAGAAGCAGGAATATTGTATTCAAATCACCCCCGACAGATGGCCATCCAGCCTCTGTTTAAAAGCTTCCAAAGAAGGAGCCTCCACCACACTCCGGGGCAGAGAGTTCCACTGCTGAACGGCTCTCACAGTCAGGAAGTTCTTCCTCATGTTCAGATGGAATCTCCTCTCTTGTAGTTTGAAGCCATTGTTCCTCTCTATCTATTCTGTGCTGCATTTCCCTTGCTGCATCATCTGCTCCATTTCTCCCAAGTTGAATACTGTTTTCCATTGGGAAGAAGACAGAGGCAAAGAAGGCGTTAAGTAGCCTTTTTTTCTGATAGACTTTATCCCCTACCTCTCTGCCATGGCCATATCATTTTTTGTTCTTCTTTTGCCTCTTTTATGGCTTTTAACCTCTTTACCAAGCTTGCGCTCAGTCCACACCTTAGCTTTTCCAACTTTCTCTAAATATATGCCGGCTATTCACTCAAGTTCCTCTGGTGATTTCCCCCCTTGCCCATTTCTTGAACATGTCCCCTTTAAATAAGATTCCTTGTTATTTTTTTAAAATAACATTCATGAGGGTGAGGACTTAGGAGGATAGGACTGATCTTCTGACTTGGAATAAAATAGCTCCATATGGACTGTTTGTTTGTTGCTTGACTACATTCATTCGTCACAGTGTAGTGTTGCTGAGACCAACAGAGCAACAGCAGTTGGTTTTTGAGTTTTAGAATTTTTTTATTTACAGCTTGAC